GTATAAGGATAGTCTTAAGACAAACCTGAAAAGTGCCAAATCGACCCCCTCACCTGGGAGACGATCACTCCACACCGTAATGCTTGGAGGAGCACCGCACGAGAAGGTGTCAATACTTTCTAGTTAGCCCGACTGCATACCGAGGCAGACAAGTTCCAGCGCGGAGAGACGCTGCCCATCCCCCCCACCCCGTGCTAGATGTAGTCATCCACACTTTCAACATCTGTGGATGGCCCTGGTGGTTCCGTATCGGCCTGTCGAGTCACCTCAAAGCTCACCAACGAAGGTGACATCCTTAGTAACTTATATTATTGCATCATAGCTTGATGATCGTCATATTCGATTCCGAGTGACAGCAAAGTGGTAGTAGTAGTAATAGTAGTAGTGTGTGTGATATCGCATGTATATATATACTTGTGTATGTCTGTATGTACATTTCTACTTACTCACAAGCTATATATAAAGGCCCTTATGAACATGCAATTTATGCTAATTATAAACTTTTTAAACTGTCAAAAGCATTTTAAAGTAATTTAACTAATCACAACATGTATAAATTAGCTATTACAAACATTTTTTACGAGGTCATGACAGAACTCTTATCACAACCATAAACTGCCCGGTGATCGAGGAATCCCTAGACACCTGAGATAATTAACGACATATCCAATTTCAACCCTAAGAAATACGGTTTAATTAACAAAGTTTCCAATTATTATGGGTGCACAGGGACTTTTGGATAACTCCCCAATGGAGGGTAAAATATATTTATAACCTGTAAACAACATGCCTTTATTAAACAAAAACCTTATGTATATAAATAATAATGAAAGTGATATGAGAAAAAGTCTAGTCAGGTGGTAGTTGATTAACATATACCGCTCGAGTATGATGACTTAACCCTTTCAGTATGATGACTTAACTCTTTCAGTACGATGATTTAACCCTTTGAGGACGAAGGTATTTTAACCCCTAGAGTATGATGACTTAACCCTTCAAGTACGATTATTTAACTCCTCGAGTACAGTGACTAAACTATTTGGACATATATTATCTTACTCAAGGGGTTAAGTAAGTCATAGTGGTCATAGGGTTAAGTCATCGTACTCAAGAGGTTAGGTCATCGTACTCGAGGGTTATCATTGTACTCAAGGGGTTAAGTCATCTTACTCAAGGGGTAAAGTAAGTCATAGTGGTCATAGACTTAAGTCATCGTACTCAAGAGGTTAGGTCATCGTACTCAAGGGTTATCATTGTACTCAAGGGGTTAAGTCATCGTACTCAAGGGATTAAGTCATCGTACTCAAGGGATTAAGTCATCGTACTCAAGGGATTAAGTCAACGTACTCAAGGGATTAAGTCAACGTACTTAAGGGATTAAGTCATCGTACTCAAGGGATTAAGTCATCGTACTCAAGGGGTTAAGTCATCGTACTCAAGGGGTTAAGTCATCGTACTCAAGGGATCAAGTCATCGTACTCAAGGGATTAAGTCATCATACTCAAGGGATTAAGTCATCGTACTTAAGGGATTAAGTCATCGTACTCAAGGGATTAAGTCATCATACTTAAGGGATTAAGTCATCGTACTCAAGGGATTAAGTTATCATACTTAAGGGATTAAGTCATCGTACTCAAGGGATTAAGTCATCATACTTAAGGGATTAAGTCATCGTACTCAAGGGATTAAGTCATCGTACTCAAGGGATTAAGTCATCGTACTCCTGGGGTTAAGCTTACCAGTATACAAACCACTTTCTCCTAAGACCCAACATAGGATAGAGCTCACGACCACACACCAAAACACGATCATTTTATATACTGCCAAGAGTAAATAAATAACACAAATCATTCTAAACATTTTTCTCATATATGAAGCTGAACAATAACGATAAAATATTCTACTGACATAAAAAAAAAATGTAATTAAAATCAAACAGTAATTACGTATATACTAGCATACACATAACGCGAGAATATATATAAATCCAGACGAACTATATACATTTGTACTAAGTTATGCTGGCATATACCATCCCTGTTAACTCTATTTACAAACAAGTATTATACCTCCAGTCCACAGTATATACAGTGAATATTTTCTATGAATGAGTATGAGAAATGACGAAAACATGTAGGTGAAGGCTGTTCTTTCATGGTGGAGTAGAGGGGGTGTGGGGCGGTGAGGGTGAGGAGTGGTGGGGGGTAGAGGGAGGGATTGTGGGAAGGTGGAAAGTGAGGGGGTGGTGAGGGGTGAGAGAGAGGATTGTGGGAAGGTGATGGGTTGGTGGTGGAGTAAAGGAAGGGGGAAGGGTAGTGGGAAAGTGAGGGGGTGTTAGGGAGAGGGAAGGGATGGGGGTGGGAAGGTAAGGGGGTGATGCAGGGGTATCGATCCGCAACATATTATATGCACAGGTAACCAAGACCGCGGTGTTGTGGGGTCGTCAAGGTGACCACTGCAGGTATTTCCCACCCCAGGTATACCGTCCACTAACACTGATTCGTTAGGTTTAAGTCTGATTGTCTTCTTGTCTGTCTGGTCGTTTATCTGTCTCTCTGTCTATTTCCATGTTTTATATCTTGTCCGTCTATATATTTTTTTCTGTTTGTCTCGTTTACTAAATAAATAAATAAATTATACTAGAATATATGCAAATAGAAGTAAGTTAATACTAAGACGACCAAATTAAAGGCTGTACCAGGTGTGTGTGTCAGGTGAAACTCCCCATAACACGTCCCAGACCGGCCCTCAAGTTACACCTAACCTGAGTGGGGCTGCCAACACCTCGAGGCTCACTGAATGGCATTCACTTGCACACGCACATGTAGATACGCACACACGTTCTCAAGCACGCACAAAAGCGCACATGCTCAAACACACACACACACACACACACATTACCTGAATGTTCCTGTGGTCATAAATCACCGTGTTTCTTTTGAAGGAATTATGACTGTATAAACGGTGTTCTTTAATGCCGTATATACTTTATTTAGTGCTGTGTCGAGTTAATTAGTAATCCTTCTGTGTTAGTGCTGTGTTTAGTTAATTAGTAATCCTTCTGTGTTAGTGCTGTATCTAGTTAATTAGTAATCCTTCTGTGTTAGTGCTGTGTTTAGTTAATTGGTAATCTTTCTGTGTTAGTTAACTGCTTCACATTTACGGATTTGAACCTTTAGGCTTAAGGTGATTTAAATACTATTAAGGCCACAAGATAGAGTCCAGGGATCGAATCCCTTCTTGTGTGTTGAACAACAAATGACAGATTACTGATGATGGAACAACCCAGACTAACATCTGCCAGGGGATGGAGTAACCTGTTTACTTCTGCTTCTGGCCCTGGGTATCCAAGCCTGTGTTTTGACCTGGGAAAGTGTTAACGGTAATAAAATCAAAGCCACAGCCAAAAGAAACAGATCATCAAACTGAATTAATCGGTCAAAGTTAAGAGGAACTAAATGGATAAACTCAGAGGATCTGTCTATTAAAACTTACAAATTGTCTGGTATTTTTGCAGAGGATAATGTAATCAGTTTCAAATAACCTCAATAAGAGGTTCAATTCGTTTAAAAAAATTAAGAGCAACAATTTGTGTGTTTGGTGAAATTTGTAAAATAAATATTTTGCCGTGTAAACCCTGCCAATCCCTCGGGTTTATGTTCATACATTAAAAATTGCGGCGAATTTCACAGCCCGCTGAATCTCGCATTAAATGTTACAAATATCCAAAGATTATTATTAATGGAAAATAAATTAAGCCCCAGATACTCTATAGTTTGTATATATATATATATATATATATATATATATATATATATATATATATATATATATATATATATATATATATATATATATATATATATATATATATATATATATATATATATATATATATATATATATATATATATATATATATATTGTATATATATATATATATATATATATATATATATATATATATATATATATATATATATATATATATATATATATATATATATATATATATATATATATATATATATATATATATATATATATATATATATATTACACTGTGTGGATGTATCTGCAGAGTTCCGCAGCCAGTAGTCCTGCCTACCTCCCAGGAACGCTCTCAGGTCTTTACTTATTAACGTCAAGGTCCCGGGAAAGCTGAACTCTCCCTCGCTGGGGCAGATATTGTTCCACTAACTGGTAAATCCAATGCCCAATGAACAGTAGTAAATGGGTAAAATTAATTCAGTTATCTTAACGAGACAGGACAACACCGTGTCTCCGTGACCAGCCTTGTTTATACCCCAGTGTTGTGGAGACAGTGTGGACAGTATCTCACCACAAGATAAGTACCCTTAAGATAAACTGTTTCTTGGATCACCTTTAAATATTAATATTATCTGTACATTAGGTATGACTAAATCATCTTATTGTCAATGGCAAGAAAGATCATTCTCGTGGCGGGAGGGTCGCAGTTAGTGCTGGTAAGAAATAATTGTGTACAAATGGTAAAGTTCCGTCATCCTGGGAGAGATAGCCAAGATATGTTTTCTGGGACTAAGTTAAGCACTCACAGAGCACTAGTGAGAAGAACAGTAAGCAAACAGGAAAGCATTACTGACGTTCTTAAATGCATAGCACAACTTTTCAGGTGTTCAGAGTAAGGGGGGGATGGGAGGTAGGGATGAATGGAGGGGGAGGGGGAGGGAGGGAGAGTAGGAAGGAAGGAAGGAGAGAAGGAGGGGCAGACCTAGTATCTAGCGGCTCACTCGAACCTCTCAGGCTAGGACAGTTGAACTCGTGTCTACCATGGAAGACTAATGTATTCCAGAGTGTGAATACCATGTTAACCTTAAAGCGAAATCAGACAATATTCAAAGACTCTTCCTATTGACGACGAAAAAGAAGAAGAGTTTCATCGATGAATCTTTTGTAATCTCTCAAGAACATTCTAAACATCTGGAGGTTGTGGAAGGTAGTAATAGAGAGGTACTGACCTGATATACCGTCATAGGTCCACCATTCATCCCAGCTGGCGCGAAGACCTGGAAGGAGAAAAACATCTTGGTTAGACTGACTCACACACACCCACACAACCTTGGCAATTATAAAGCCCTTCAAGATTATTTCCTTATTTTCATCAATTTACCATAACAATTTAATAGAAAATAAGTTTGATTAATTCCGATCATTTTGATATTGAGTGGTCCAGTGGTCCTGTGTGAGATCTTTTCTGTGATTATATAATCTGAAAATAAAAACTTAAAGACACTATAAATGAAAAACTAAATAGAATTCATGTGTATCACGAAAGGTCTTGGTTTAATGTAACGAGACACAATATCATGGAAGTTAAGACACAAGAAATAACACTCAAGTCTAATATTACCTTCAGAGCTTAAAGACGAAGTGAAATCTAATCAGTAACTTGGCGAGGTTTACCTTACAATCATATATAGAAAATGGTCATCACATCCAATTGACTCCCTCGATAACAAAGCCCAACCACTGTTACCAAACCTCAAGTAATGGCTACAAATCACCAAAGCCCCGTTTCTAAATCCAAGTCATTAAAGATTAACGTAAATCCAAAATAATGAGAAGGAAATATAACGAGGGTAAATCCCAGTAATCCCACAGCGTGGCATCTCTTATAAAACTGAATCTCTTTAAACAACAACAAAAAAATCCTTAAATGACGTCAGAAACAACTGTGGGGAGTTGACATAAGCCGCCATTATGGTTTACCCTAATTGGTTTGTACAGCGGGTTAGTTACAGCGACGTAATCTATTGTGAAGACTTAGGACACCCTCGCTTACGCATACTATCCTCCCTCCCTCCCCCCCTCCCTCCATCCCTCCCTCACCCCCCAACCTAGTGTACCCAAGTAATTAATGCATGTCACACTTCCGTAATTTCACTACACAAACAAGCGGAATAAAGATTTCTGTGGCGCTGGGAATTAAGATTATGTTTTCTCGACCTGATTGGCGAGGGAGTGAGGGAGGAAGGGAGGTGTACCAAGAAGCACTCATCCTCACTGTTGACGAATGGTTCCTCGAGGAGTTTTAAGCTGTGGGTGTTGTCGAAGCATTAGCCAAGGCCGCCATCCCTCAGTTGGGCGTCGATGGGAACACAGCTTGTTAGGGCCGAGTGTCAACAGGCCATTAAGGTGCAGGTAAACAGTCATTACGTGTGTGTGTGAGTAAGAGCTGCCAACACCTTCTACTACTACGCCTTGGACTTGGCTCAGGCATTGTTGTCTGCCTCCTCTCTCCCCCACATTGTCCTCAGGTGAAGGGTCTTGACTAACACCCAACCACTGTGTCCTCACCCCCCTCCCCTCATCACTATGTTGGTATTATCATTTTATTATTCAGGCTACGTCCATCAATGTACTCGTATCATTATCAGTAAGTACCAATAGTAGTAGTAGTAGTATTGTTATTGTCATAGTTATCACCATTAATATTATCAGTTCATTATCATTACCATTATTTTTGGGGGCGTTGGTAGTAGATAAATAATCATATGACAAAAACATATGAGTGAACAACATCTTCATCCCAGAACAGAAATGATCCAACAATATCCTCATCTCAGGGCAACAGTGAGCTCGTGTGGTGATGTGCGTCTGGTGTGCCTTAAACGATGTTGACTGCACATGTAATAGGTGTGTGCAGTGTTCAGGACAGAGGAGCCATAATGCAGATAGTAGAATGCAGTTTGCAGCCGAGTGAGAACTAAACCCGGGACTTAAGCACCAGTAATGTCAGGTTAAGCAGCGTTGAGGGACCAATTAGTGTTCTGATAATGGCAGAAATGGTGATTTTGTTTGTGTCATGACTCACGGTGCTAATTTTTGTTGTCTTGTGATGTACCGGAATTGATAAATGAAGGTTAATTTTGCCGAGATGGAAAAAATCATGTTTGGTTCAAGTATTATTTTAAATTTAAGGAGATGAATATGTCAGGATTGTTGGCGAGAGATCTTAATTTGGTATAGTTAAGTGATCTTGAGATTAATACAAGGAATGAATAATCGATGTTTAAATTATTTATTATGAATCATTGTGAAACCTCTGTCACCCTATTCACACGTACTAGGGATCCGTGTTATCCTATTCACACGTACTAGGGACCCGTGTCACCCTATTCACACGTACTAGGGACCCGTGTCACCCTATTCACACGTACTAGGGACCCGTGTCACCCTATTCACACGTACTAGGGACCCGTGTCACCCTATTCACACGTACTAGGGACCTGCGTCTCTCTATTCAAACGTACTAGGGATCAAATAACATAACCCTTTGGAAAACATTCTCCTCTACATATTTTTTCAGGTTTCATTTGGGATAAATTGATAAAAATATATGAAACCTGACTAAATATATAAAGTTTATGCTATCTGGGGGTGAAAAGGGGTACAGGTCCCCCTAGTATGTCTGAATAGAGTGGCACGGGTCCCTAGTACGTGTGAATAGGGTTCCCAGTTCATGTGAGGAAGTAAAAGACCGTAACACTCGTAGGCGGGACTGCTGTATTTCCCAAGCACTTTCACCTACACTTGTACTCACGGTTTCATCCAACACACTTATGTGAGGCCGTAACTCCCGTGACTTCGTCCCTTAGGGCGAATAAAGTCAACTAACACCACGATGTACTGAAGCTATGTTATCAAAGTTAGTCAGAGGCACTTACCTTATTAAACTTAGGTACAGTATTCAGCTTTTATAAAATTTATTCCTCTCTCGGATATAATACTATAACTTAATTTAAATTATATGATGTTAAGAAAAATAGCATAGAAACTTAATAGTATAGTTCTTTATGACGGCAGAGTTGGTTTCTGTGTAATCAAGAAATAAAATTGAGAAATAAATCAAATTCAAATAATCTTTCTCTATAAACTTTAAAGAAAAATCTATTTACTTATAATAATAGACTCAGATGAGGAACCAGACGGTGTATATAAGCTATTGGAAGACTCAGGCTGTTCAGATATGTTAGAGACGCGAAGGATCAAAGACACAAAAACACATACGACGATTGATCATTGTAAATCCTCTTGTCAGTCTCCATACAGAAAAGAGAATAAATTTTTATCCTCTGAAGGGGAAAAAAATACACCAGGTTGGCCCCCGTCTTCCAAATATTCAGATGGTCTTTCTCCCTGTCATTTAAAATTCCAAAGCCAGTCATTTCTCACCGCCGCCTCAGAATCAAGGGAAGATTTATGCTAATGCTTCACTATTTTTCAGGACGACTGCGAATCCCAACGTGATTTCGGAGTGTTCCTATGGCGTGTCAAATGGGGCTCGGGCGACACCTTTCCTTGTGTAGGAATTATCTCCAGAAATACACAGAGAAAAAAAAGGTGGGGGTGGGGGGAGATATTCTAGAGAAGGTTTTTGGTTTTATTTCTCTTGGGAGGTATAGAGACTTTCATAGGTTCAGTATTTCATGTAATGGTTTTCAAATAGCGAGGAAGATTCACGTGATGCATTTTACCGACATTCCTCCATCAGCAGATTGAGAGCTTTTGGCCTGAGCTATGTGTATCTCTCTCTCTCTCTCTCTCTCTCTCTCTCTCTCTCTCTCTCTCTCTCTCTCTCTCTCTCTCTCTCTCTCTCTCCTGTTTGAAATTCACTCTGCGTAAAGTATAGTATTTCTCACTTATTGTCAGGCAATATAAACAGTGTTATCTTTACATATGCTCACACGTCTCCCCCTCATCCCTCCTGACCCCAACCCAACCCAGAGGATAAGGAATAGTTGCCGTACTGTTGTGTTAAGAAATACTAAATCTCTAGATTCTGATACTTTACAATTGAGATAAACAAAACATTACTACATCCTCTCTGCTATCGTATATGGACCTACGTCACGCTCTTCATGTCAACTTTGGGCCAAACCTGAGCCATGACGTAATGTGCCTTTGTCTGCTACAACAATTTACAATACCATATTAATGGTGTAAATATGTATGTAATGATCAGAGATGATGCTTCTTCCGTCACGTAAGTGATATTTGGTAAACAGGTAAAATCGGTGATTGGGCAGAAATGCGGCTGGCCAGACTATTGACTTTGCCTCAGAATCCGAGGCTCCGTCACTACTACCACCATCACCATCACCACCACCACCACCACCACCAACAACACCAACTCCATACAACCTGGCACTATGCTAACGTCTCTTTCACTTTGCTTGAGGATAAATAAAGTGGTAGATTTATACTGCGTAACCAACTGTTTCACCCTTACATTGTCCACAGGTATTATTCACTCCACGTTAGATGAATGAAAGGCGTCCATACTACATCAATTAATCTATGTAAACGTTGCCTGACCAAGTAATGAGTCAAATTAGATCACTGTGGGCAACATGAACAGAAATCAACTACAAATTTAATATTCTAGATTGAAATTTTTGAATCCGACGAACACAGATGTTTATAATTAATTAAAACAATAGATTTGTTCTTGCAATCTTACTTTAAATCAAAACAGAATATCTAATATTTTCCCTCCACTGGTATGTTATAATGCAATCGTATATAAAATGATATAGATAATTCACGTACTAAATCCTGGGAAAACTGTTGAATTACCATACGCCTTAATACACTCACGTGCCACCAAAGCGAAAAATCTGAATTAAACTGTCAGAAGCAACATTAAAATCACAAAAGTTATATTCATGGTTTCTCAGCATCACTGCCTTAAATATGAACCGATATTACTGACCTTACACATATTACCTGGAGAAAATATTGGCACCGAGCAGCTGTACACCCTTGTATCTACGTCATTCAAGCTATCATTTCCTACATTACATGACCCGGAAAGGAGTTGTGTTTACCTCCGCGTTCTGTAGTGAGGATTAGAGAGTACATACCTTCTACACAGTGCTATTAAAAAGTTAACCTGGTCATAATATACTCCAGGTGTTCTATTATATTAGTATATCGCTTTTGGTATATCTATAATGTGGGTTCCTTGACGTCGTCGGCGTGTTATCATAAGAGTATAAGTTTA